TTCAACATATGGATCAATTGTAATGATTTTTTTCTTCTTTTTCCTTTTTTGTCTTTGAAATATAGTCTTTGGTATATCGGATGGTTCTCTGGAAGGGAGGTGAAGGAATACTGGGGGAAACTATGATGATGCAAAAAACAGAAGACATCAAGAAAAAATTATTAAAAAAAAAAAGAAAGAAAGATATTGCAATATTCCAGTGGAGACATGATGACAGATTGAAGAAGAATCATAAATTTAGAGGTGGAAGGGACTTCAAAAGTAATTTAATCTAACCCCCTCTTTTAGACAGATAAGAAAATTGAAGCCCAGAGAATTCATTACTTATTCAAAATCATAAGAGTAGTCAATGACAGAGCCTAGATTTGAACTCGAAGCTTCTGATTCCTCTTTCTTCTGAACTATACACCTTCTAACCTATAGATGTCCCTCAGGTTTCTGTCTCAGGCTCTCTTCTCTTCTCTCTCTATACTATTTCACTACTTGGTGATCTCATCAGCACCATCTCTACACTGATGATTCTTAAATCTACTTATTTAGCTCCAGCCTCTTTGCTGACCTTCTATCTCACATCTCCAGCTGCCTTTCAGAAATCTCCAACTGGATGTCCAGGAGATATATTAAACTAAACAAGTCTAAAACAGAATTCATTATATTTTCCCCTCAACCCTCCTCCTTCTCACCTTAACTTCCTTATTTCTACAAGGGGCAGCACAAGCCTCCCAGTTCCCCAGGTTCACAATTAGGAATCATCCTGGATTCCTCGTAATCTCTCACCTCCCACCACCCATATCCAAGGTCTTGCTAAGGCCTGTCAATTTCACTTTTGCACTATCTTTCCAATGTGTCCTCTTTTCTTCTCTGACACTGTCTCAACTCTAGTGCGGGCCCTTATCACTTCCCTGTAGGTCTGTCTGCTTTAAGTCTCTCTCTGCTCTGAGCCATCCAAAGTGATTTTGTAAGAGGCAGGTCTGACCATATTGCCCCACTACTCAATAAACTCCAATGGCTCCCTATTGCCTCCAGGATCAATGTTTTTAAATGCTCTGTTTGACATTGAAAGACCTTCATTGCCCCTGTCCCTGCTACACCTATTCCCAGTCCAGTAGCATCAGCACCATCAGGAAGAAATCCACCTGATGGCAAGTCTGTTAAATATGACTTTTCCCCCTCCCCTCCATGCTTGTAAACTGTACAACTTGAATCTGATTGTATATCTCTTCAAAATTTCTTTAATTAAAAAAGTGCTTTATGTAAAACAAAACAAAAACTTTCAAGTCTTCTTCCCCAACACATATCCTTTGATCCAATGACACTGGCCTCCTGGCTATTTCAGGAACAAGACACTCCATCTCTCAGCTCCAAGCATTTTCTTTGGCTGTCCCCCATGCCTTCCTCAGCTCTGCCTCCTGACTTCCCTGGCTTCCTTTAAGTCCCAAGCAAAAGCCTACCTTTTATAGGAAATCTTTGTCAATCTTTCCTAATTCTAGTGGCTTCCCTCTACTAATTACTTCCTATTTCTCCTGTATATTGCTTATTTGTACGTATTTCCTTATTGTCTTCCACCATTAAATTGTAAGCTCCTTGAGGGCAGGGACTGTCTTTTACCTCTTTTTGTATCCCCAGCGCTTAGTGTAGCGCCTGGGACATGTAAGTGCTTAATAAATATTTCTTGATCAACTGACTGAACCACACTGTCCTACCTATTGTATTAATGTAAGTTAGAAATAATGAGGGCCTGAACTGTGACCTTGTGAGTGGAATGCAGGGGAAAGACATATTGGACGAATATTGGGTGGTGAGGGAGAGTGAACAGTGAAGGATAACTGAAGTATGAACCTTCAGTGGATACAGGGAAATTAGGAAGTAAAGTAGTTTCAGAGAGAAAGTAGTGAGCTCTGTTTTATATGTATTGAGATTGGCGTGCAATAGAACATTCAGGTGGAGAAGTCCAGAGTTCCATTGGTGATGCTCAAGAGAGGGATTACAATATGCATCACTGGATGAAGTAGCCATATCAATGCAAATCAAGGAACCTCAGAGTCTTGAAGTTCTGATTATGCTTATGTTGGACACAGAGTCAGAAGATCTGGGTTAAAATGCTACCTCAAACACTGTAGCCATGTAACCCTAAATAAGTCATTGAACCTCTGTGACACTCAGTTTCCTTACATGTATAGGAGAGATATCACCTATCCCACAGCATTGTTGTGAAGATCAAGTGAGATAATGTATGCATGTTAACCACTTTGCATACCTTAAATTGCTATATAAATATGAACTGTTTTTATTATTGTCATCATCATTTTCATCATCATCATCATCATCATCATCATCATCATCATCATCAGTATGTAGTGTTAGGAAAGAGAGTTGGCAAGCCAGAAATAAGTTAACAATAAGTGATGAAGAACTGTCTTTTTTCTACCAGTCCATACGGCAATTTCTATTTATGGCATGGCATTAAAACTTTATTGCCAATTTTACAGCTCTAGCTGTCCAGTGTTTGATTTAACTAGAAAACATGCTAGTAATTTGCTCCTCAGCATAGACTTATATTTCAAAATCTAGAAGTTAAAGACCTTAACAATCCTGACTTCTTCATGTCATAGATGACTTAAAATGAAAAGCTGCTCCAGCTTAGTCACAAAGTATTAAGGAAGGACAACTTTATTGCTGGAAAATAGCATACCATGACACTCATCTTAGATACCTATGTCTACATCCAACACTAAGCTAGAGCTCAGCTATACTGATGGTTTCTATAATATAAAACTTTCATTGATTTGTTAAAATTGGATTATCTGTCACATTACTTAAATATGCTCATAATTTCATTCACTATTATAAGTGTCTTATTAGTTCTGATTTCACCATATGATTTAAGGCGATCTTGCACCAAATGGAGTCATAGGGTCTGAGATTTAGCCTTATAAAGGACTTCACAGGCCACCTAATCTAAGATCCTCACTTTAAAAATGAGAAAACTAAAGCCCAAATAGCTTATGTGACTTATAAAAGGTCAGGGGTAGGATCTGGACCTAGGTCCTCTGACTAGAGAAGCAATGCGTTTTTCCATTGTACCAAGTCTAGAGTACATGTATCCCAGTAGAATGAAAACCACATGTTCTTGTGTACGGTTCTTATCTTATATATCTCCCAGTCCAGAATCTGGGCCCTATATGAATCTAATTAAAGCCAAAGAAATAATTTCTGAACCTTAGAGCCAAAGTTTTTGCTATCAGTGCTATAGATGAGAAAGTAAGCCTGAAACAAGGGCAGAATTTTATACTACTAGGCAGAATCACCCTTTATCTTAAAATGTATATGGAGATTTGATTTATCTTCTGAAGGAGACAACAGATCTAAATGAAGTAGAGTCAAGAAGAAATCAGCATTAAGCTGTACTACAGGATTTATTTATCATCATCGTCATCATCACAGTATTTTTAATTTAACTTGAAGCAGAATGCTTTTAAAAGAAAAACAAACCTGAGCTTGAAAAAAATCCATTTGTCCAAATATGATTGGCATTACCTGGATATGTTGCTATTACCTGCTATTCTGGAAACAGTTTGGTTTCTGGAGAAGAAATAAAAAAAGAAACAAGAACGTTTTTGGAATAAACAAGTACGTGAATCATTCCCAGCTTCAGTGGGCCTAACCCCAAGAATGTATGGGCTTGGGAAAGGATTAACTAAACAATATTTCTTTTCCAGGCTGCTCTTCAGAGAAAACAGCTGGCTTAGATTATATCTTTTTAAAATTCTAAAGGATTTCAGAAGAAACTAAATAGAACTGTTTTGAGTACCTGACTGTAATCAGGTACCAGAGATGAAAGAAAAATTAGCTTTGCTATGTCCCTTTACTTGTTCTTCCTAGTTTTCCTACAGGAATGAGAAAAGTAAAAATATACTTCTTACATTTCTCTAGCTATTGAATTATAGGTTTTTAGCCCAGACTTACAAGATAACCCCGATGATAAAGAGACATTTTTTTAATCCAACCATTTTTTGAATTGTGCTTTATATATAATACACATTATATAGAGAGCAGGTAATTTGGTAAGATATTAATGCCAAAATATCAATTGTATACCTAGTCATTCCATGTTTATTACATGCTGAATGTGTTTAGGAAGCAGTTGAGTCAAATCACAGCCTTGGCATAAGCAGTGGTTTCCAACCCTTTCTACAGCAAATGGGTGGGAGCTAGAGACCAATAAATACAGCTTAAAGTTGAAACTGTGGATACCAAGGTTTGAAATGCAGGCAAAGGAAAGGGGAAGGTACAAACATTTGCTTTAACAGACTGAAAGATTTTGAGGAAAAAAAAAAGAGATCATAAATATTTCCAAAGCTCTCAGAGCTTGCGTGCTGGAACTTACTGATTTTGCAAAGTAAAAAAGAGGTTGGGTTTTTATTGGGGGGGGGGAGTACTTGAAGAGGGATGGTAGAGGCGGTCTTGCCCCTACAAGTGCCAGTGTAATGCTCTTGTATTCCAGAAGCTGGTGAGGAAAGTAACTTGCCATTTGGGGAACTATACAAAAGCACAGGTACCTAATTTAGAGCAATGACTTGTGTGCTGCTTTGGGACCTATCATTAATAGAATGAATCGTGTTCTGTTTTCACTTAGGCAAACTTGTCAGTCTTTGCTGGGGTGAATGGTCCTGGAAAGAGACATCTTGTTATGTTTAATGTAGCTTCAACTATAGCTCCTCTTGAAGCCCTGGCCAGGATATTGCTGGTAATGATCCAAGGCATTTGAAAAGGGGTTCAAGAGCTAAAGCCGCGGAATGTGAGTGCTTGAACTTGGCGTCAAAGAGAAGATCTGAGAATGCCCTTACCTTCCTTCTTTCAGAAGTGGTGATTGGGGGTGGGGTGGGGACTGTGATTGTGGAGGAATGAATATAATATTAGACTTTTTCAATGCATTGGTTAGTTTAGCTGAATGTTCCCTTCCCGGACCAGGGAAGGGTGAAAGAGAGGGAGAAGGAATGGGGAAAAAGAAGAGATTATACATTGTGTTCTGTTTCCTACCTCCAATGGAAGTCAAGGAAAGATGAGTCCTCATCACTTCTCCAAAACAAGCCAAGAAAGCTAAGGCAAGACAAGACAAGACAAGAAGATGAAACAGCAACGAGTACCACTAGCGCTAAATACAAAGACAAGAAGAAAAATAGCCTCTGTCTTTAAGTAGCTTTGGAACTTTCAGTGTATCAATATTTACCAGGTAAATGTTCTAAGTTTAACATATCACTCAATTCAAGCTCTGGTTTGGTTTTTTTGTTTGTTTTTTGGTTTTGTTTTTTACTTTCCAAAGATAATGTAGCTTTTGTTCCACAGATGAAAGAACAAAATATAAGATTTGACAAATCAGAAATAAGCTGCAAATAAAATACCCCAAATACCATGACAGGTAGGTCCTATTTCAAGCTAACACAATATATGAAAATCTAGATTTAGATAAAAAAAAATAACCCAAGAGATGTTTATGAACTTTACAAAAGTTATCCTCTTTTCCAAAAATGATGTACAATAATGTTCTTTTAAATGAAAAACTCTTCTAAGTCATGTGAAACATAATTAAACCGATAAAACATTTCATTTACATACAGTCTATGAGGAATCCTATGGTATCTTTTCAGGAACATCAAAATGAGGGGGGGTGGGAAGAATCAGTGGACCAGTGCAAGTTATAATACAGTGATTTCTGTGTTTCAGAGGCTGGCTCTTGGGAACTGTGTTTTATGATTATGGTCAGAAGGATTCCCTAAAAGGATTAGTCTTCTTCAGTAAGTGCTTTCCCTAGTCCCTGTCTAGGTAATAGTTACTCTCCACAATGAAATAACTTGAAAGTAGGTGGGCAAAAAAGAATTTGACTAGGCTTTCTGTTTTCTGTGAAATAGCAATTAGCTTTAAACTCTCAACATTCGTCCTTACCTCAAATATCCTAACCACCTAAACCAAATTCACTTAAGCTCCCCAAACACACACCAAACCAAATATCATCAGAAGAAAGAGTTGAGTAATGTTAAGGTAAGGCAAACCTACCTGGAAACCTGACCGCAGGGATTCAAAGCACCACTTTTTACTTGCTAATTCCTCATTAAGAGGCTGAGCTAAGGTTTGTTTCATTCTGTGTCCTACATACAAGAAATGTAATTTCTAGATACATGTGCAAAATTCTATTATAATAGAAAGATTGACTCTGCCTACTTTATATGGGAATAAGCACGTGATTCAATTCAGTTCAGCAAACAGTTATCAACTGACTTCTACTTACAAGGCACTGTGAACTCCAGGGGGTATGAGAGAGAAATAAGTCTTCTAGGGCCTGGCTCAAAGGAAAAAAAAACTACCAATCTAGCATTAACATGATTTGGGGTTGGAACTCAGGGAAAAATAGGTAAAGTCAGACTATATTAGACAAACTGAAGGCATAATAGCTTAAGGTAGACAGGGGAAAAATTATAGATAGATAGATAGATAGATAGATAGATAGATAGATATATAGATATATAGATATAGATATAGATATATAGATATATAGATATATAGATATGCGGACAGTGTACCAAGAAGGATGCATCCTCTAAGCAAGCCATGACTCCCATGAGATTAGAATCACAGTACCTTAAAATTAAAAGAAAACTCAAAGATTAACTAGGCCGACTCTTGCACAAGTTATGAATCTGATTTGAACATTTCCTGCAGGTGGTGACATAGCTTCCATCCACATACCTTTAATAATAGGGAATTCACTACCTCTGAGGCAATGCATTCCTTTACTTTTCTTTTTTTAACATCTCTAAAGCAGTGTGTATGGCACAGTGGAAAACATGCTGAATTTGGAGTGTCTGGGTTCAAATTCTAACTGTGGAGAAACCTGTGTGACCTTAAACTCTCTGGGCCTCAGTTTCCTCCTTGTGAAGGGGTAGGAAGACCACAAAAATACTTTCTAGCTCTAATTATTTTTTTTCCCTTATGAGATGAAAGATTGGATAGAATATAGCCAAGTACAGAACACCTGGACATTTCATCATTTTTGTTTCAGATTGTAATGATGACAGTCTAAGATTATCAAAGAATCTCAGAATTGGAAGGGACAAGCCATCTTCTCCAGCCCCCTTCCTGAACAAGAATATGCTCTACAAATTACCTGACCAGTTAAACTGCCTTTGCTTGAAGACCTCCAGTGAAGGGAAACCCACTCCCTTCCAAAGCAGCTCATTTTACTTTTAAATGACTAATTATTGGGAAGTTTTCCTGAGATCAAACCTAAGTTTGCCTTTAGGCAAGTTCTAGACATTGTTTCTAATATTGCTTACTGGGGCAAAGCAGAACGTGGCTAATTCCTCTTCTATATAGGTGCTTCAAATATTTGTTGATCTTTACCTCCTGCCACTAAATCTTCTATGGGCTAAACATCCCTGGTTACTTGTTAGCTAGGTAAATTACCTAACCTCTCTGAAACTCAATTTGGTCATATGCAAAATTAAGATTCAAATACCTATGGTACATACCTCAGAGAGTAGTTGCAAGAGTCAAATGAAATAATATATGTAAAGCACCTTGTAAATGTTAAAGTGCTATATAAATGTTGGGTATTATCATCATCATTGTTATTATATGAAAGTTAGCTAACAAGCACTTATTAAGTACTTGTAAAGTACTAAGCACTTTACTAAATGCTTGGAATACAAATGAAACTGAAGAAAGATAGTTCCTGACTTCAAGGAGCTTACAATGCTAATGGGGAAGACAACACATAGAAGGAGTTCAAGGCAGAGTGGGCATGGGAGAGAAAATCAAGAGCATGGCCTGGAAAGAAATGAGACATGGCTGCCATCTTTAAATGGAAGTTCTAGCCGGAGTCATCCAATCAGAGAGAGAGGCTGAGGTGGAGGATGCTACTAGTATGTAAATTCCAGGGCTGGACTGAACTTTCATGAAGAGGTTTCTGGGTCATGGTAAAGATAGTCTGGAGTGAATCCTGGAGAGGAATGACAGGAACCTGGGGCCCTTCAGCCTCCTGATTGTCCTCTTTATACTCTCCAGCTTATCAATAACCATTCAAATTGGTCTAGAACCAGCTAGAAGTGACCCTACAGGTCCTCTAATCAAAGGTAGAACCATAGACTGCTAAAGCTTCTTAAAGCATCTTAAAAATCTCCTATAACAGAGCCCTCGTTTTATAGCTGAGGTTCTGAGAAGTAACATTCCAACAGTGACATAGCTAATGAGTGACAGGGCTAGAACTGAATGTCTTGTGATTCGATCCTCAACTTTTTTTCTGCTGTGCATTATTGCCTCCTTGGATCCCACCAGTCTGCTTGTTTTGAGTTCACTTAATTGTACTAGCAACCAAGGTACATCTCTCCATCTTGTGTACCACGGTGTTGTAAGAAATTCTGTCATCTGCCTTGCTGAATTCTAGCTCTATTATGTCCCTGAAATTCCCCAATATAGAAATCCTTGTTTTCATGCTGGATGAGGGCATTCATTCAGGATAGTTAAGGCAGCTAGATGACACAGTGGATAGAGCACAAGATTTTCAGTCAGAAGATATGAGTTGTATGACCCTGGCTAGTCCCTTAACCTCTGTCTGCCTCAGTTTCCTCACTGCCTAATGATACCAATGATAGCATTGATCTTTCAGGGTTGTCGGGAGGATTAAATATCTGCAGAGCATTTAGCACAGTACCTAGCACATAGTAGATGCTTCATAAATGTGTGTTTCCTTTCTTCTACAGGACAATAATCTTTCCTTAGATACAAAATCACCAACAAAGTTCCAAAGTGTATCCTTTCTATTCATCTAGAAACTTAGTGAGCCACAGCACAACAGCAATGAACAGTATGGTTTCAGAAGGCAGATTGCAAGTGAATATTAAGGCAAATACTATAGAAGAAAAGAAAGCAGTAGATAATATCATTTATTGGGAACACCAGTGCAAGCAACAGGGATTGGACGCAGAAGAAGCTGTTGAAGGATCTGGTCCTTTTTCAGAACTTAGTGTTAAGCTACCTGTGGGTCAGTCACTGCTGATGGAATTTAATTTAAGATATCTGAACCAATATCCATTAGTGATTTTAGCCACTGGTACTCCTTCTTGGTTTTTTCCTTTCCTGATTTAGGTATTGGGATTGTATTTCCCTCTTAAAAAGAGTCTGGTAGAGTACTTTCTCAGTTTTAGACAATGGTTGTATAGTTCTTTAAAATCACATGTTGAAGAGACTGTAGATATGTGGCATACATAAGCTTTGTTTTAAAGATGACCATGGAGTTTCTCTAGGCTGGGGACAGAATCAGAGACAGAGAAATTACTATGCTTTCTGATTGTCAGGGCCCCCTACATTGAAACTGGTGCTGTTTACTCCCAGAGACATTTTTGGGGGACTAGGACTTTTTGAAAATACTTCTCCAATGAGTTTGAATGCAGATAGAAACATACTATTTGTTATATTTTCCTTCTGTTGTGTTTTGTTTCTTCTTTCTGGTGGTTCCTCCTATTGGTTCTAATTCTTACAGCATCACTAATGTGAAAATGTTTAATAGGAATGTATATGTACGGCCCATATCAGATTGTGAGCTGTCTTGGGGAGGGAGGTGAAAAGGGAGGGGGAGAAAAATTTAAAACTGAAAAGCTTATTGAATCATAATAAATCAAATCAAAATAAATTAATGAAAAAAAAGAAAATACTTCTCCATAAAGGATGTAAATATACCTACTGGTATCTCGATAAAAAGACAAAAGTCAAGTTCTTGATTAAGTCTCAGTAACTTGGGCTAAACCTAGATAAGTGGTTGTTTCTGGGGCCCCAACAGGTGACTCAAAACCAAACAATTCATCTTGGGGCAGCCTCAGGCCCTGAGGTTTTAACAAGAATTGGATCTTATCTTCTTATAAAAGGATCAATTGGCTTGTTCATACCCTCTATGGGAAAATGTTTTCCGAAGTCTCAAATGAAGACTCATGGTTCTTTAAGCTTCTTCATCTAATTAGGGAACTCCCCTGATCAAGCTCTTGGGAAAGTTATGAAAACCTCAGACTTTATCACTTATTTAAGATGCTTGACACCATCCAAGATAAGGTTGACATAGCTGGAGAGTAGTGGCAGGATACAGCCAGAATACTACTTTTTTTTTCTCATTTAACCTTGATGCTTTAAAGTTCTGGTTGATAATTAACCATAAGTCCAAACTTTTGGCCCATGCTCTAGAGTAGGTCCAGGGAGTCAACTTGGGATTCACCAGCCAAGTTGATAATCCTTTTGTCACTGTGCAACAAGAAATCTCCTGGAAGCAATTTCCCTATTCTATAGTATAGCCTCTGAGTGGCTTTTAAAAACAAAAACAAATTTAAAATTCCTTAGGTCAGGAAAACTGGCATATGCTGTTTCTAGAACCAGACCATCAGTTGTGACACCAGCCATAGTGGGGCCTTATGTCATATCCCATCCACTCCATTTCATCCTTCTCTAATATTCTGTCACCAATCAGACCAAGAGATTGACCTTTTAATATTTAAACAAAGCATTTGTTTGCATAGCAAAGTCCTGCAGGGGACTGTTAAATTGGTCAGTAATCTGAGCTGATACATTGCCTTTTTCTACAAATTATTTTATGGGAAAGTTGCCTTGAGCAAATCTTTTATTTTATATTTTTTTTGTGCTGAGGGTGAACAGAACATAAGAAATAAGGAAATATGTATCATTGTTGTGTACATTGGCACATGAAGAAAGGAAATGGGGGAAAAATGTGTT